GGCGAAAAACGTGCGAACAGAACAAAAAACAAAGAGAAGCTCCGATTGACCAGCAAAGGAAGCCTATATACCAAGAAAACTACAATAACACTCCCACTGGTTAACAATGCAAGCCTATAGAGCAATAATACTACTCAAACAACTCCTATTATTATTATTATTATTTCTACCAGCCTACCACAACTCTTGGGGGGGCACTGACAATGTAAAAAGCTTCATTACTGCTATGACCACACTCGCCAAGGGTGAAGGGCTGGCGTGGGTACAGTAGTCACAAGGACGACAGGGAGATATGACTTGGTCAGAAAGAAACTTGTTTGTTGTCGGGTAGAAAAGGACAGATTTGACGAGTTCGCCGAGGGGTTCGGTCTATCTAAGAATCTGTGAATTACGGAGAAACCATCCCTATGCCAAAAATGACTGAAAACCTACTAACAGTAAGTCATGGCCAAATGGTGCCAACTCGGCGGATAGGCGAACTTCTGCCTTGGTCTATCGCTGGGATGGAAAGAAACGCAAGTGGAGTCAATGACACAGAACAAGAGGGAATTGAGGATAAAAGAAAGAGGAAATATGAATTTGAGTCAAGTGTTCAAACGCCTTCGCAACTAGGACCCGCCGTTAGAGCGAAACAAGTAGACAAGGCTGTACGTCTTCCACCCGAAAAGGTCAATTTCACAGCTGTACACTGTAATAACAGTACAGCGATCGGTCACCTCAACTCATTAATTATAAAAGCTATCTGGGCATTTGCAAGAAAACCGATAATATCAGAAGAATGAAGAAGGAGATGCGATCAGTGAAACAGGAATTTTATGTTGCTGACGTTTCGGATTTTGTCGAGAACCCTTGATCACATGCACGTGTGTAAACAGTAAACTGCAAAGCCATCATTGCACCAATTACGACCTCAAGCGGTGGTTGTAGGAGTTGATAATTATTGTACGCATGCGAATGGCCTCTACGAACTATAAATACCGTGCAATCTGTACACGTATCACCCCAGTCTGTGCATGTCTCACACCATTCTACGCTTAACTATGATAAAGGACTCTGGACAGAATCCGAAACGTCGGAAAAATAAAACTCTTGCTCCAGTAATCGCAGGTTCTTATGAACTGATTTCTGGAACTCGCATATTCGCCAGTAAGAATGAAGTCACGCAACTGGCGTGTGCCGCCTTCACCTTCATCCGAAGACGTGCCCCACAAAGTGTACCTTCTTATCGGCCAGCAAAATGATCAGTTTTGATTTCTTTGGCACAAATAGGTAGCCTCATCAAGAGTCCAGTCCAGAGGGCTTGAGAGGGAGTTAAGTGCAGTCTGCTAGTACCGTCAGAGGTCAACACTTTGCCGGCTCCAACGGGAAAACACTAAAGCACCAGGGGCAGCTGCAACTATCGCATGAAATGCAGATTTGGGAGACCCAAAAATGACTGTCAGGGTGGTGTACGGTATGCTGGTTGACAGACTTACTTACCGGACGTGAACGCTCGCCCGGGTGTCTTACAAATCAGCCCAGATGACGCGCGTAAGCTCATATTCACATTTATTATAGTTTTTGCAAAAAATCGCATGCATTTCGGCTATTGCTTCAATCATAGGAATATATTACTAGAATACACTATCCACTGGTCTTAGTAAGTATGATGAATATAATTAGCACTCGTAGCAGTGGCATATTACCTCTAGCAGTAGTATCCTAGCCCAAACATAGTAAAATGTGACACAGCTTTTGGTAGACAGCGGTGAGAGGACGGAAACCGAGGCAAGCCCTGATGTGCTCCGAGTCTCAAACACGTATTTACCCGGAATAGCATTAAATGAGATTCACCCTCCTTGTCGAGATCGAGGTGATATGAGCCCCAGCGTTTACTTTAACCGGCAACACCTCTGACAAATATTAACCTAGGAAATGGTGTCTGTATTACTAACACTCATTTACTCATTTAGTATTTGAATAAGTAGCAGTATTAGCAGCACCAGCCTTGGTTTCCTTGCGTCTGTCTTTGCACCTACTGAAGGTGAGTGAGAGTATATAGTGTGGTAGTACTCGCGGAAAGTCTACTGTCACTTAACACTAAGTTAGGCGGTGTTCTGGCCTTCATTGGAGAAAGCGGCCTACGCCCGAGCCTGTTTGGTCATCTTAACTTTCTCTTTTCACCGGTTCAAACGGGGAAACCTTAACATACAAAGGCAGCTGTAATTATCGCACGAAAAAAGCAGATTTGGGACACCCCCTTAAAAATGACTGTCGGTGTGGGGTACAGTATGTTGGATCCACACTCCTTGCTGAGATCAAGGGGTATGAGCCCTAGCGTTGGCTAACTCAGCGTCATCTCCGACAAATGGTAGCGCCTGTGTTACACTCCATGTCGAGATTGAGGGGATATGAGCCCAGTGCTAACTTAAATCAGCGTCAGTTCTGACTTACAAAACAGTCAGCAATAGTACCAGCAAATAATATCACTCACCTACACCCTAGTAAGTAGTATTAGAAATAGCAGTAGTGGTAGTAGCAGTAGCAGTAGTACCAGCCCTGGCTTCCTAGAGTCTGGCTAGACACCTACTATAGGTGAATGAGGGTAGACAGTACAGTAGTACCTGCGCAAAGTCTACTGTCACTAAAGGCTAGGCTAGGCGATTTTTGGCTGCAAATGAAGAAAGCGGCTTCCGTCAAAAGCCTGCTCGGTCATCTCGATTCGGTCTTGGCACCGGTTTAATGCGGTGGAGGGTTAGCGTGAGGTAGACAGTTGTGTGTCTACTGCACTATAATCTCGTACCTAGTTCATATCACTGTCTCTGTTCTTGAGCACATGGTGGACGTAATCGAAACCGATGGTCATACAACACACATGCTGGTTAGTATGGCTGCACTTACCGTGGCGAACAGCGTCAGCGATTCGGCTCTGCGGCGGCAGGGAGATATGCTTATGCGGCCCCTTGGAGGCCAGGCTAAGGGAGAGTCTGGAGGTGAGCCCCATAACCTGAGGCAGATTGGGCTCCCGGTCCGTGTCTGACAGGGTGGCAAGAGCAATGGAAAAGAGCCCCTGCTCTACCAGTAGAGCTTGCTCCAACAGGCGCAGGCGATGCAACAGGAAGGAGTGCACTTCGGCCGAAAAGGCGAAACGTTGCCGAACTTCGTCCGCTAGTTCGACTAGGAAAGAGGGAGAGGGAAAAAGAGGTTTCCCTGAGACTGCGTGGCAAAATACTTCGTAGATGTGTGTGTGGAGGAAAATAAAAGGGAAATTGACAAAGCGTTTGGACATTCCGGCCAGACGAAAAGGGTATCCCCATTCGGTAGATATATATGTGTGTAAGGGGAAATAAAAGGGAAATCGGTAGTGTTTGGACATTCCGGCCAGACGAAAAGGGTACCCATATTCGGTAGATATATATGTGTGTAAGGAGAAATAAAAGGGAAATTTGTAAAGTGTTCGGACATTCCGGCCAGACGAAAAGGGTACCCATATTCGGTGTAAGCACGCCACCGTGCATCTAGCAAGTATCAAAATCGCGCGTTAGTTTCCCGGGTGGATTAAGATTCAGTCCTCCCAGTTTTCATTATAAGGTGATATTTTACTTCGCCATAACTCTGGATGCACAACACAAGGGACCATGTAGCCATAATTGAGGGTTTTCTCTAACAGCATTTCCCCATTTTGCAATAAATTCAAACATTTTGTACAAAACGGTTAGTTTGGAATGGCCGCAGCTGAAGAAAATAATTAATTAGGCAGAATAATATTACAGACAAAGACAAGGGAGACTGGAGTATCTATTTTTGATCGTTAACAACCAGCTATACTTAAATCCAGGTGTTGTAAATACTGAGGTTCGAGCCCGTGGCCTGCTAAGTAAATGCCAAACGCCCTAACCACTGAACTCCGGGTTCGTTATTTTATTCAAATTCAGCAAAGTTGACACGTACACCTTCGGCAGTAAGATTAAGTGTTCATACGAGAAAGGGGAACTGAAATGACAGGCAGATAAGAGGTTAGAAAATCTGAAGCCGTTAGCGACTAATTGCGTTCCGGTTACGAGACTAATCCCAGACGACCACAAGGTAGATAAAAGGCAGGAGCACAAATTCTCAAAGCGCAGACATAAACACTTCATACGTATGGACTGGAAAGTCGGCATCCCAAGAAGTATAATTCAGTAGAAAAAGAACTTTGGGAAAACGTTGTTTTTTGAGTGAATTTTCGACACTGGCTCACCAGGTCGTCATCAGACGGATGGGAATCGTACGAAACTGTTAATCTACAACGATGGCTAATAGAGGCTAATATAGTGGGTCGGGGAAAAATTGGTAATTGTCACCCGCATGTGATTATGCGGTCAGTGGGGAA